CATAGAATTGGATAACTTTGAAATTGAAGTTCAATTGCCACTTATACTTAATTAATGAAACCTCAAAATTTTAATCTTGTACTATCAAACTTCTCAAATAAGCCAATTCTTGGTTTTCTAGTACTTAAATGATATTCTACTATAAGAAAAGAGACATAATTAGATACAAATGTTGAAGCAATTCCAACCATCTCTATATCTCTACTTTCTACTATTTTTTATTTTTTATTTTTTTTTGGTAGTAAATTAAGTTGATGGATTGTAAATATTAATTCTTTCAATTGTTATTGCATTTGTACTATTGTATTTTTCATTTAGATAATTTTTTTTAATATATTTTAAAAAAAGATATTTAATATTACTCAAAATATGTAAAAAAAAAAAAACTTGAGAATAAAGAAAATAACAAAAATAATATCAGTTTAGAAAAAGGTAATCTGCAACTTTTAATATGCATATGTTTTATCAAGAAAAAGAAATTATCCACTCTTAATCAAAAAAAAGTCAAAGCTTTAATATTGTAAGTCTATTCTTGTCAATTTGTTAAAGACAAGAATTCAATGAAAGTAAATAAATAAATAAAAATTTCTTAATGAAGTATGAAAAAATAAAAATAAAGAAGTATGTATATTAAAAAGAAACTAAAATGGCTATTGCCAAAAGACAAAAAAAACTAGAAAATCTTGAAATTAAACTAGAAGCAAGAAAAGAATTGATAAGAATAAAGAAGACTATCTACCTAAGAGTTATGTGGCAACATTTTATAGGACCTCCAAAATATGTTGATTTTGTACAATATATATCTTAACTTGCAAGATCAGTTTTCTATATGGATGCCACATAGTTAGCTTGTTTTGCAAGCTACCAACACGTGTGGCATATGATTAACTTATTGACTAAGTTTCTAACCTATCAATCAACTACAAATACATGTGATATCAAAGCAATGTCCATAAAGCTTCTAAGAAGCTTTTCTAGAAAATACTATAAGATTAATCTACTTTTATCTACTTCTACCTATTCATATTACCTAAGTAATAATTATAATAAATATATTTCCATGAAACTTTCATCAATAATAGTGGAATTCTACTTAAAGGCAATTGATCTATCTTCTCATGTATTTTATAAATTACCAATTTAATTTAGATTTGAATTGCAATAACACAAATCTTTCATATTTTAGATTTATTTTTTTATTAGTTTTTAAAACTTTATTTAGATTATCATAAATATAAATCTAAATTAATTTAATTATTTTTTATAAATATATTATTTAATATTATAGTTGATAGTTGTAAATATTATTGTATTCTAACATGGCTTATAAATCTAATAGATGATGGATTTGTATTGATAAGATAAAAAAATATGAAATATATTTTATAAAGACATAAATAAAAGATAAGAAGGTAATAAACATATTTAATGTTAATATTTTTTTTATATAAAGGCTTCTAATTACTTTGTGGAATAATATATATATAGCTAAAATATCAAAGAAATGAATTACAACAAATAAAACCTCAATATTCTTTTGTATTATTCAAAAAGAATAGATATTCACTCAAAATTAGTATAGTATTGAAATTAGAATGACTATTCTCAAAGATGAGAAGATGAGAGATTCTTGAAACAAGACTAAGGACTACAAAGGCGTTGATATGAATGAACAAGGCATCTCTCTTACCTCTATATATACTATTTAATAAGAAGATATGTAGCACTGTTCTACAAGACATCCAACATATGTCTAACTTACGAGACATGTATTTAACTTATAAGACAAGTTTTTTATATGTGTACCACATGGTTAATTTGTACCACAAGCTACTAGTACATTGTCGTGTAGTAATACAACTATATAGTAAAAGATGAAAACATGGATGTTGTTATAGAAGAGTCTAATAAAAAGATGTAGTAAAAAAACAAAGATAAATGATAGGAAGGTCATAAAAGATTTAGTCTTAATCCTGCTTTTTAGAGAAGATGCTTCTACTTGCTTTGTAGGAATATTAATGCGTCAAATTAAAGTAAATAAAATAAGTAATTGATATAAACATGTTTAAAAAAGAGTTATCAATAGGTTCAAATAAAAAGTACCTCAAATTATTAAATATTAATACCTAGAGAGGACTGATTGTCAACTTGGATCAAAATTAGACCACGAGGCATAAAACTACACACATACGACAATTCTAGAGTTTTTAGTAGATCGGAGAGTGGAATTTGAGAGGAGACTTGTAAAAAAAGTTTTAAGCATTAGGTTTATATCAATTGAATTAATATTTAATTTTTGAAGGATTTTCAAAATTAATAATGTTTTCAATTGATTTAGATTTTAAAAAATAAAACTATATTTATATATTTGAGGATTTCTTGAGTTTTGTAATATGTTTATAAGTAAATTTTGAGTAGAATATCGGTGTATTAGTTATAAATGAGTGTAAAAATTTTGAGATCGATCAAACACATAGATTGAAGTGTGTGAAGGTTTTTGTGGATTAAGGTCTGAGAAATTGGAGTTTAAAGGTCAATGAGTATTTTTAAGATCTTTAGCAATCTATCAATTGGATTAAAGTGATTTTTTTGTGTAGAGACTAGACTTGATTTTCAATAGTTTAGGTGTATTTTAGAGGCAATTCAATAGTTCAAGAAGGAGATATTGGCACTAAAAGTTCAACATTTAGATTGGAGTAGGATGTAAGCCAACACCTAAGTGGAATTTAGGTTTGATCTTTGATTTGATAAGTTTGATCTTCTTCAATTTTTGTGTGCTTATTGCCAACTTAGTTGCTGAGAAGTGTATAAAATCTTATGCAAGATCAATAGTATAATTGATAGATATTGAGGTTCTAAACTACCTTAAGATTAGATTAATTTGATTAGGAATTGGTTAGGATTTGGGATTTATTTAGAATTTAGAATTTTTTATGATTTAATTAGAATTTGATTTAGGATTTAAGTAAAGACTACTAGAATTTTAACTAGGATTAAATTAAAATTTGGTTAAATTTTATTTAAGATATATTTAGGATTTTATTCTAATACTTCCTTTGAATTTTTTTAGGATTTCTTCATGCTTCTTTTGTAAATTTTTTTGAGGTTTTTTTTGGATTTAATTAAATCTAAATTAATATTATTAAGATTTAATTGGAGTTATTTAGGATTCTATTAGAATTAGAATCTTCTTGTTATAATATTCTTTCTACCTTCTACAACTAGATGTTTGGTGCATTCTAAAACAAGGCTTCACTTAAGACGACAACGTGTAAGACATGGATAATTTATTGGCCAAGTTTTTAATCTATCAAATAACTATAAATACATATAAAGTTAAATTTAAATTTATGAAGCTTCACCACAAGATATTATCAAATCTACCTATATTTATATTCTATTTAATGCTACTTATCTAAATAATTTATATATATCCATAAGACAAAATAATTAGCTTATAGTTAATTTAGTTTAAAATGTTTTTGTAAATTTTAAAAGTAAGTGAATAATAAATTTTAAAAATATAGGTATTAGTGGATTAATATCAAGATTTTTAAAAAATAGACAATTGATAGCCAAACAAATTATGAATTTTTTCTTTTGATTGATAAGCTGGATTCTTTTTAAATTTCTTATATTTGTTGTTAATTTATAAAATGTAATATATTCAAATTTTGAAGTTAAATTGATAATTATTGAGGTTTTAAAATTATTATATAATTTTTTATGATTGGATAAAATTTACTTGGATTTATTTTTTAAATGATAAGGATTTTATTAGGATTTTTTAAGATTTTTTAGGATTTAATTAAGGTTCCATTAGGATTTTTAGGATTTACTAAGGGATTCTTTAGGATCTATTTTCTTAAGATTTCTTTAAATTTTCTTTAAGATTAAAAAAAAACTAATTTAAAGATTTTTTCAGGATTTAATTAAGGTTTGATCAGAACTTTTAAGGTTCAATTAAGATTTATTTAGGATTCTATTAAAATCTTTAGATTCTTTGTTTGTTGCAAAATATAAATTGTCTTTTAGATCCAAGCAATTGGTGCATTTTCAAAGAAGACAATACATTATACAACAATATTTTGTGCAATCTTGCAAATTTGCAATACAAAGTATTTTGATCCTGCCTTTGTAATATACCATATATTTCAAGAATGCATTCCAAACATCTATTATTTCTTACTAACTCTATTTTAAAGCTTTCACTTTTGCATCACTACAAACAAATTAATTATAAAATAATATTTCATAATAAAAATTATAACATATATTTTAATTGCAATATTTAATTATTAGTAATAATAGAATATTAATACATTCTATTTTTTGCAATTACAAAAAAATTCAAGTCTATTTTTGTTCCTCCAAATATTTAAATAAATAAATAAATTTATATGTATTAAAAGTATTTTATTCATTCACTTTTTTCTGTCATAATTAACTAAGTCTCAACAATAAATGAGTAAGTTTATAAAATAAAATCTTAATGTTCCATTAAAGTAAATTTCGTTATTTAAATAAACAAATAAAAAATGATTTCTGTGTAATTTTCAAGTCAATTCAATCCCCTGCAATAGATTTATTTATTTATTTTTGAGGAAAACCAATCAATATTGTTGTCACATGATATTCCAACTTTTTAGCCACAAAAATGCAAGAATCAGGTGGAGAACAGGGAATCCGATGGGGGGAACAGGTACGATTCGAAGGAGAGACGGTGGGAACGCTCCCACCCGAGTCTCCGCGAACGTCTTCACCACCTCCTTTGCACCCGCTCGATCTCTCCATGTGTCGCTCTCACAGTCTCTCTCTTTCTTTCTTTCTTTCTTTCTTTTTCTTTCTCTCTCTACCTCCAGATCCTCTCTCTTGTAGCCATTGCTATTGTGGGGGTGGGGGAGAAAGACATTCCTTCCTTCCGGTGAATGACTGAGCGAGCGAGCAGCGGCGCTGCCTTGGTCGCCATCAATCAGGCTTCTTCGTTCCCTGCCCATCCCCCCCCCCCCCATTGCATCCTCTCTGTCTCTCTCCCCGGCTTCCATTCTCTTCCATTCTTCCTCTCCGTATCTCTTTTCTGTTGTTTCGCCAGACCCGGCTTCCATTCTCTTCCATTCTTCCTCTCCGTATCTCTTTTCTGTTGTTTCGCCAGATTCTTCTATTTTTTTTCAATTCACTCTCTTTCCCTCCCCTGATCCGTGACTTCCGTTTTGTTACATTCCCCACCGGCTTTAGGGTTGCGCTTCGTTGCCGTGCCACGCTGTAGCTATGTCAGTGTGAGGGTGAGGGTGGGGGTAGTTGGGAGTGGATTAAGTGGGGAGTGCTGCTGCAACAGCAGCGACGGCGGGGTGAAGGGTGATGGAGGATTTGGAACACGGAGTGAATGTGGCGAGGGTGGCAAGAGTCGGGGCTGCTTCCCCTACTCCCCAACGACCTGGGAAGAAGCTGGATGTGTGCAAGGGCGTGCTGCGCATCTTAAGACAGAATGGTCACCCTGTCGTCCAGGAGCCTGGTTTTGCTGAGGCGCTGCAAGCTCACTTTAATAGTCTACCTACCAGGTCATTGCGCACCCCCCCCCCCCCCCCCCCCGCGCCTGAGTTGTGTTTAACGCTTGTGAGTTCTAAGGCATTAGAGTCTCCTGGGCTTCCAATTCGGCAACTGTAGCGGAAGGCGCTTTCCTTTCGCCTACTTTTCTGCTCTGAAACCCTCTGCTGGTGAAATCACCAATTCTGTTAAATCTATGCGTTGCATAGTTTCTTAGCGCGACCCCCGTAGTCTCCTTCTTGTAAAGGAAATTAAGAATAAGTAGGGTTTTTCATTCCTACTGACGATCACTGCAGAGTCGTCAAGTTCGGAAAACCCGTAGCTCAACTGGATTTGCCCAGGCACTCTGTACTGCCAGTCTTAATAACGTTACACCTCAAGTCTGTGCCGAGATCCTACTGTATGAGTGATGGGTCATCAATGAGACATGGCCCCTTTATTATGTCGGAAAACCTGCCGGGTGCAGAGTAGACATAATCACCAACTTACACCTGCAGTTGGATAGTGTTGTGCATCCATTAGTGCGGAAACAGCGAGTCATGAAAATATGCCTTAGATGTTGTAGGGGTTTACGCTGGTGCGAAGGGGTGTATCGAGAGGAGATTTCACTACAGTAACTAACTTCTAGATTTCCCAGCCAGTACCCGTTTGCTACTAGATTCCTGATAGTGATCAATGGATTCGTCAACTTGCTTTAGCCAGTCTCAATATGTGCTAATATTAGTTGACGTTCTGTTCTACTTACTCATGAAACAAGTGTGCCCATATGCGACTATAATTATAATAATGATGATAATAATTATTGTGTGTGTCTGTGTTACTATGTGTTTCTAGTTTGGTTTTTTTTCTTGGATGTTTACATGACATACCACTGTTATGTCTTTGTGTTACATAGGTTATTCCATCTTGGAAAATACTACCAAGGGAGAGGTCAAACCTACTCAATGTCTCTGTTTTACTTGTGCTAGACGAATTTTGGTACCATAAAAAGTTTGAATGTTGTTGATTCGCTACTCAAAACGTTTTATATCGATCCTTGGTTTACTTTTAGAATAACCCTTTTTCAGCGGTAAAGCTTTGTCACTCTCTTAAAAGCCACTGTGTCACGAATTTGGTTGCAGGTATTCTGTAGATGTGAATATCGAACGAGCAGAAGACGTGTTGAATCACAAGGTTCTACTTTCGAAGGCTCAAGTTCCAGAAAATCGACCTGTATTTTCAGTTCGAGCTGTTCATGTACGTTATTATGTCCTCAAATTTTTGTGGTATTGATACGAAAAACGCCCAAGTGTGGTTGATTTTGGTTTTGGTTGGACATAGTAATGTGCAGGTAGAGGTTTGAGCATTAAATTCTCAGTAGGACTCGTATCGAGATTTGGTTTCTTACGAGTCCTGTCTTGTTTTTCTTAGTTTATATGAGAAACTCCTTCACGTTTTAAGATACTTTATTAGATGGCGAACGACTAGTCAATCTGCCGTATCATTCTCTTCTCATGCCTTCGCGACCTGATTGCCAATTATTCTCTTCCTCATTTTTTGCAGGTTTTCAACCCGGAATCGTCGGACCCATCTTCCTCTAATCAGCAAAATGAGGATGAAGTTTCAAGTCGCTCCCCATCCAAATTGAAGTGAGACCGCTGTTCATTACTTCTTGGACTAGATCAACTCGTAGCCTTTGCCAGAGATTGAAGTTTAGCACTCACAAGTCTTCCTGATCACATATGTCCACGAACATTCTTTCCTTTTCCAGAGATACTGGGATTCTGACATCGGTTATTGTCCATCTTCTCAGAAGCAGCATTGTTAAGCGCTAGTCTGGATTGCTAAAGTGGTCTCTAAGGTGTTATTGTGATACCTGTTCCAGCATTCATGCTCCGGCTTTTGGATCAACAGTCAATCTGGAGTCTTTAGCTTTAGATTATCACAAAGCAACCCCAATGAACATTGACGACAATGACAGCAGCCATCACTCTCAGAGGTTAGTTTATGCGCGCAAGTAAAGTACGGCGACCAGAAGATTCTTATTTTTAGTTATTCGAATCATTTGTAGGCACTGGTCCTCCTGTAGGAAAATGAAAAAAATGTTAAGTTTCGCCGAACTAGCGAATTTGGTGGAGTATTCGTTTGTTTGTGCATCTTTTGTCAGCAAAAGATTTTGCACTGTCAGATTGGAAGGATATAGTAGTTCTAGTGGAAGATCAATAATTCTTTTCGGATCTTACGCTTTAATTTACACCTCTTTTTAGTGAGATTTGGAGTAATTTCAGTACTTGATGTGCAGTCAATCTTATCCTCATTTGCCAATGCACGAGGTTACATTTGCAACTATTGACAAACCCAAGCTTCTTAGCCAGGTTTGATAAAGCTTTGTACGCTTTGTTAGTAGAAGTGCAGGGATTAGTAGAATCAGTGATTTGATGTTGCCGATTATGATTCATTTTTTTTTTTTTTTAATTGTGTGCGCATATGTCCTTTGTATGGTAGCTCTATTGCATACGTAAAAGTTGTTCTGATTACTCTGCAGCTGTCAGCGTTGTTAGCAGATGTGGGTCTCAATATTAGGGAGGCTCATGTTTTCTCCACAACAAGTGGCTACTCTCTTGACGTCTTCGTTGTGGATGGCTGGCCCTCGGAGGTATAAAAACACTTTCGTGTTGACTTTCTTGCATGTTTCAGGAATGAGATAGCTCAAATATTATTCATTTTGTTCACTTCTTAACTGGTTTTAGATTTGGGGTCAAAACTCATGCTGTCCCAAGACATTCGTCACGTCTGCAGCATTGAAGCACTGATTTTTGTCATGTTTTCAGTGATGAGGAGTTTTAAATTTGCATCTATGTTTCTTGGTTGCAGGAAACAGAAAGGCTGCAATTGGCTTTGCATGAAGCTATTGCGGAAACAGATGTGAGAAACTGTGTACTTTATCTAATTTATAAGATCGTGTTTTTGTCTTAAAGACTGGTGTATTGGAGTGGAGTGTTGAGAAACTGTCTGAGCAATTATGTAAAATGCATGATGTTATAATATCTGGAAATTTTGGATTCCTTCATGTTCAACAGTTGTTTCAATTTTCTCTGTTCTCTTTTGCCATTAAGTTGTGTAGTGCCAGTATTGATTTGTTGCGTTCTAATTTAAGAGGCACGTTGACACAAAGGTACAAGTGAGACTTTCTCATTTCAGTGATAGGGGATTGTCCACAGAAAAAAGTCTGGAAGAAACCCTCCCCTGGATCCGAGTCGCCTTCTCGTGCTGCTACCGATGTGAAAGTAGATGTTGGGAACAGTATTGTACTATCATCAACTATAAGCAACCCAGACGACTGGGAGATTGACAGCAGTCAGCTAAAATTGACTTCCAAGATTGCCAATGGATCATTTGGTGAACTGTAAGTAAAGCCTCCTTTTCAAACCGTTTCGTATGGTACATTTCACGTGCCTTCAATTGGTAGGTTGATTACTTTTGTACTGTTTGTTGGCTCAACTTCTTGTTTGAGTACTTAGTCTTGTCGTTTGTGAAAGATACGTGTTCTTGGGCAGACGATCAGCAACATTGTCTAGGCAGTATGATGATTCCTCAACAGTGGGCAGTTGACTTCAGGTTTCGAGGGACATATTGTGGCCAAGACGTAGCAATTAAGGTCTTGAAGCCTGAGCGATTGAGTGACAACTTACAAAGAGAATTTCAACAGGAGGTCTCTATCATGCGGTGAGTCTAGTTTTTGGACCTCTGCATACACTCTTTGTAATGGTGTGCGTGTAAGATGAGCTAATTTCTACCAGTTTCCCTCACCATCTCGGTATGTTAGAATTCAGATAGAGTATTGAAACTCTATTTCTATTTTTTGAATCTACGTTTATAGACTTGCAAACGTCATGCTTTTCCATGCTTCCAATAAACGACCAAGCGTGTAGTGCACTTTTTTGTTGTGTGTTTTCAGGATAGCATGCGTCAGTCTTCATTCTTACGCATCGAAGTGGGGTTTATTTTACAGGAAGGTTCGACATAAGAACGTGGTTCAGTTTATTGGTGCATGCACCAGGCCCCCCAACTTGTGTATTGTAACAGGTAAACAAACAACTTCGCATTAAAGTTAGTTCATTCAATTGCCTGGCGTGTTAGAAGTAGAAATTATCTCTGATGCTCAAAATGACCAAGGAAGTATCAAGTGGCTCATCTGAGAAGTGTCATAGTAGCTCACCGATCAAGTGTATTATGATATTACTCAATAAGTATTTTCAAGTTCTCTTAGCTTAGTATTGCTGGAGTGAACGATAAGTCTGTAATATAGCATCGGGGAAACATACGGGCATTCTCATTGAGTCCTTGAGCAGTAAATGGAGTTAATGCGTAAGTCTCGAATTGCAGAATTCATGTCCGGGGGGAGTGTTTATGATTATCTTCATAAGCAGAAAAAAACGTTAAACATGTCTATTCTGCTACGTTTTGCAATCGACGTGTCAAAGGGAATGGATTATCTACACCAAAATAATATAATCCATCGTGATTTAAAGGCTGCGAATCTTCTGCTGGACGAGAATGAGGTATTGTACTCTATTACTCTGAGCTTTCGGGGTTTTTGAGACAATACGGGTTTTCAAGTCTCTGGTTCTCTCTCTCTCTCTCTCCCTGTCTGGTTATCACTATATATGACAAGTAAATGACAGACTGCATGACGTATTTTGACAACATTCCTGAATGGTCATCAAGGTCCTTGTAACAGAAATTTGAAGGTTGTGCATGCCTTGACACATATTATTCATTTTGTTGCGCTGTGTGAATGCAGGTGGTGAAGGTGGCGGATTTTGGTGTGGCAAGAGTGCAGGCTCAGTCTGGTGTAATGACTGCTGAGACTGGTACTTATCGATGGATGGCACCTGAGGTATAAATATATGGCATCTGTACTTGAGAACCTGAGAAAACTACTAACATTATCTTCTCTCCTTTTTTTGTTTATTGTTTTGTTTGTTTGTTTGTTTCTTTTTTAAACTTTTTAGTGAAGTGTTTGCCTACAGTGTTCATTTGATAATGATTCGAATGAATAGACGAGGATTCCTTGTCTATGTCATGGTTTTGAATGCTGAGCCTAGTAACCTGTGGGACGTGCAGGTTATTGAGCACAAACCGTACAATCGCAAGGCGGATGTTTTCAGCTTTGGCATTGTACTTTGGGAGCTTCTTACTGGAATGGTAAGAGTTAACTAAATCATGCACTTAGAAAATATGTTCAGCAGGTGGAGTTGCGAAGTTTCTTGCTGAACTTATTTCTAGCGATGCACACAATGTTTTTGAAAGCTTAAGATTCAGGCAATACTTCTAGCAGTTTCTCGTCGTCTTTTTTGCCCTCACGATTCAATATTGTTGAATAGTATATGAAGTTGGATATTTGTTTGCCATAAACCTCTTGCTGTTATAAGTTTTCTAGGCTTTTTTTATAGTTCGATAAATATTCTTGTGTGTGCAGGTGCCATATGCAGACTTAACTCCACTTCAAGCAGCTGTGGGGGTAGTTCAGAAGGTTAGTTGTTGTTCTGCTAACTCGGTCTCGTCATCGGTGTTTATGTGGCTGTGATCTCAACGCTTAGTGGTAAATCGTTATCTTTAGAACTATTTCACAGGAGCTGCAAAGTTCAAGAATTCTCAAGCATTTTATTTCTCCTTTTGAGTACAGGGTTTGAGGCCAATCATACCTCCACAGACCCTCCCAAAATTTGCGGCATTGCTAGAACGTTGCTGGCAAAATGATCCTGCAGAGAGACCTGATTTTTCCACCATTACAAAAACTTTACAAGAGATTTTGAAAGAAGTAAGGTTTTGATCCCCTAAAATTTAACCTGGATATTTGTATTTAGAATTTGCTTCAGGATGTTTTAGGCCTACACAATTTTTACGTGGGTAATGAATGAGTCTAATTTAGATACCTTCATGACGGTCTTCTATCACATTTACAGGTTGGAGACGCTGGAGATGCTGAAAACAGAGGGAAGGACAAAAAACTAGGTGGTCTCTTTTCACATTTGAAGCGAAGCATCCACTAGCGAAGTTGATTTACAGTCCTATATCTTTCCTTTGCTGAAACTCTAAGTGAATCTGTGGTATGGCAAGCATTCTTCTATCCTCCATTTGTTATCTCCTCGCTTTGTGCTCGTATGCAGTCTATCAGTGTCACGTTATTTTAATATGATGCGACATTGCCAAAAGATTTTCTGGACACTCCAGTTGCACTTGATTAGGACTGCACGTTATCTGGTTTGTTAACTGCAGTTAGTCATAGCCTTCACCACTGGCTGCATTCTGATTCTCTTTGGTCGTGTTCTGCTATCGAGCCTGTTGTGCTATTGTGTTCATATTGGAGAGCTTGAATAAGTGTCGTTCTAATGAGATGAACATTTTGTTAGAACGTCATTCACCACAGCATGAAACATGCAAGCCTTGTGTTGATAGTATTCTTGACGCGATCAGATAAATCCTAAGCTTTTTTGAATGTTACACGAAAATTACCTAGCTTCATAAACCTGGAAGCTTTTGATTTTAATTTTTTTGACTTCCTATGTGCATTTTAATGAACTCTTACGAGTATCGTAACATTGATATCAGCTAAAACAGAATTTAAATTTATTTCTTTTGAAGAGTTTGACTACGACTATTTCTGTTGTGCAATTAAATGTGAATATTGTGATATTCCATCAGAGTTATGTATGAAGTGATTGTAATCATTTATCAGAATAAATAAGTGTTAAATAAAATAACGATAAAGAGTTCAGTAATAGTTGGTTTGTCGATTTCATTGTTTCTAAGGAACAACTGTATGTATCAGTTACATAATAAATCTGTGCATAAAATTACCAATCTTTTTAATACGTTTCTTTCTTCCTGTTTGAATTTCATATTTGAATATTTTGTTGTTGATGATACTAACTTGGTATAAAATAAAATTGTTTAAACACCTCTCCTTCCGAAGTGAGCATGTTTTTTTTTCACTATATCGTAAGTCCATTTCTTTGTACTGTGATATAATATAGAGCAATTTGGTTTTTTTTGCTATACATTTACTTGCAGTTTTCTATTTGCAATTCCTAATTAAACTCTCAACATGTCATGTTTGTATTGGATTGCAGTAATTTTAATCTATTTCAGACCTTGAAACTGACAAGTAACACATCTCAACGTATTATTTTTTACAAATCCATTCATTTATTGTCTTTTCGATTTTTTGATTTTAATTTGGTATTTCCATATAGAAAACATATTATAAATAATTTTCTTATCTATTTATGTTAAAATGTATATAGCTGTGGATGTTAGGGATGATCAGAAAATGGTAAAGAGATTTCTGAAAATGTTAAAATTAAATAAAATTTTACCTAATATGTTTTATAAAAAAAATTGATTCTTTTGAGAGAAGAACAAATAGATTGTATTGTTGAGTTACTCGGTAATATAAGCTACCCCTTGATACAAACCTATCTTCTTTGTATCAAATATGTTGCAATTGCAAGGTTGATGGTATATAGTTATATCTTTACACTTAACACAAGTGAAGTTAGTATTGTTAATTGTTAAAAATAATTTCTTCTCTTGGTAATTTTTTAAATTTAAATGATATATATATATATATATATATATATATACTGCATTAGTTGTGCCATTTTATGTGAATTTTTGTTAATTTTGCAAAATATTAACAAAAATTAACAAAATTAACAATAACAAAATTGAATACAACTACAAGAAGTTTCAATACCAACACTAATCATTTTGTAAGATGCAAAGTAAAAAATAATTATATGCATCCAATGACAAGGAGTTGATTTATGAATATAGAACTATAATCGAACATATAAAAGAGCATTTTGCATCTTACTTGTAAAAAAGAATATAATAAAATTTATCCAATTTCATTATATGTAAACTTCAGAAATATATCATAATTGGTGGATTTACTAAAAATGGCATTTGAATATGGTCACTATAGAAGAATATTGGTTTATAAGAATTATTTGATTTTTTAAGTATTTATTAGGATATAAAAGATTTAATGTGTGATAAGAATCTTATAAGACAAAAAAATCTTAATAAATATAATTTTAGTAAGTCTTAGAAACAATGGCTTCTAAGCCTTATTAGTTAATTCAGTATTTATTTATATTTATATTTATATTTTATTATAATATAAGTTTTGTAGTTATTTAGACCAACATCAAAAAAAATATTTTCTATATACTTTTTAGTTATTAGAAATTTGTATATGATAGTTGAAAGATAGAAAAAGCATGAGAACAAAATTTGTGATTTTATCATTAATTTTAGAATTTTTATAGAAAGAAAGTTATAAGCTTTGGGAGACTAATCTAAATTTTTTAAATTAAATTTAATTATAAATTTTCATAATAATTCTTTTTTAAATTTTTTTATAATTTATAATTTTATTTTTTTAACCTTTTTTCTTTCTTCTTTACTTATTTTTTTAACCACATTAATAAATTACAAAAAAATAAATTAATTAAAGTAACTTTTTATTTGAATTGAAAGAAACTACTAAACAACTATTTGATGATTTAAATAACCTTAACTACCTAATATAGATTTGGCTTGAATCTAAAAATACACATGTGATGAAAAATATGAATATTTAAAAATGGTAGGAAAAAAAATTCCAACCCCTAAATTATGGGAGAAAAATAAGAAATAAAAAAGATATGACTTTAATAGAATAATATATCTAATTGAGTAAATTCAATAAAAATATAATATTGTCAAGTTAAGCATACTATTAGAATAAATCTAGTTAATTGAGTTAATTTAATTAAATCAGAATTGATATTTAGATATTGGTAAATATTGATAATATGATAGGTCTTAAGCTATAACTGTTTAAATACAAGAAAATTTTGTTTAAAGATAAGAAGAAAAGAAAATAGAAAAAAAAAAAAAAAAAAAAAACTAAGTTTACCACAAAGTAAGAGATAATTTTGTATAAATAAGTATCTTAAAATGCTCTTGTACTAATATATTTGAAGGATTTAATGCATTTGTATCTTAAGTACCTTAGATTTGTAGAATTTTTTTATATTTTTAAAATTAATTTCGAAAATAGAAAATAAAAGGTATAAAAATTAAATTTTTCTTTTACAAAAAAAAACCACAAGTTGGTTGAAAAAAAAAAAAAAAAAAAACTCTAATATCTTCAAGCAAAACAATTTCCAAATAATGAATTTTCTTTCTTTTAATTTTAAAATTTTATTAATTTATATGTGTATTTTAAAATTTATATAAAGATTAATTTAAAAAATAAAAAATAAAAATCTGAAAGAAATACAATCAATTTGAAATTGAATAGCTACTTTGCTACAATAGTCTAAGTTCTGCAACAAACAATAGATATGATATCAAAATATGTATTTGAATCTTTAAAAAAAATTAAAAATTAATATTTATTCAAATTATATATATATATATATATATATATATATAAAAGAAATAAAGAGTTAAATTTATCTATAAGAAAAAAAATGCTAGCTATATTTACAAACTTATTTTCTTTCTAAGTTAAGATATAGTAACTTCTAGTAGATCACAAATCAAAACATACATTGAAAATTTAAAAAATTACAATTAATTTTTAACTTAGAAAAATAAATTTTTAAAATATTTTTTTAAATCTTATAAAATTCTTTGTAAGAATTTTTTTTGTTAAAGACATAAATTTTAAAGAATTAAAAGATTGATAAATTCTTGTATCACTCAAAAAGACTAGAAAGTTATACAAAGATGATATAATATTAAATTAGAATGGCCATTGTCAAAGATAAGAAGACTAAAAAGTCTTGAAATAAGATTGCGTACTAGAAAGGCATTAACAAGAACTTCACTCTTTCCTTTATATTTACTATCTAACTAGTAGCTACGTGGCAATATTCTATAGGACCTCCAAGACATGTCTTAACTTGCAAGGCAAGTTTTCTACAAGTATACCACATAGTTAGCTTATTCTACAACCTACTTACACATGTGACACATGTCTAACTTTATGGCCACGTTTTTAAGCTATCAATAAATTATAAACATGTACAAAGTCAAATATGCATCTATGAATCTTTTAAGAAGCTTTGCCGTAAGAAAATATCAAATCTACCTACATTTACCATCTACCTAGCACTTCTTATCTAGATAAATATTTATGTCCATGATAAAATGTCAAATGAAGATTATAATCTTATTTTATTTTATACATCTAATTAAAGAACTATTATTAAATTAAATACTAAAACATGTATTTAAACTCTAAAATTTAAAAATTAATATGACATTATCTAAATCACATATTAAAAGTAAAGTTAAAAAACTAAATATAGTTATATTATAAAATAATACCAACTAAGATTTTAGGCTTATTTTGATTTAGTAATTTAGATCCAATAACTATATTTAAAAAAAATACAAAAATACAAAAATTATATTTAAAAAAATTATAATTAATTTATAACATATTCAAATTACACTTGAAAATAAAATTAAAAAGATAAAAAGACATGTATTTAATATTATTAAATTGGAGTCATTAATTCTTATTTATTTAGATTTAATAACCATCATCAAATAAAATATGCTTTAGACAAAAAAAATCTAAATTCACAAATAATATTCTATTGATGGTTGATAGGTCCTCTCAATTATTGATAGTGTCCTATAGTAGGGTAGAAAGACCTTCCTATTATTTGATTGTTGTTGAGGCCTTTATAACTTCTTTCAAATAAAATATTTGAAATACTATCAAGAATTATATCAACCTCTAATAAAATCACTAAATATTACAAGTTTCTCTCAAGGTCATGATATCAAATATATATATCTCGCTATCTATTTGAAAAAAGATGTGTTGTTCTTGAAGATCTTCATCTCCATTATGTCATTTTGAAGGTTGTAACAATTGTAATGTTTTGTCTAATAAGTCAGTAAGTGATAGCTCTTTAGTTGAATTTATTGGTTGTTGATTTTCTATCTCTTTAGCATCACAAATGCATAAAAGTACCAAATAAGAGTAGAAGATACAATGCTTTCTTTCTTAGATCTTATTTCTTATATAGCAAAAAATTTCTATTCTTTATCTTGGTTTTGATGGATGTTGTCAATGAAAAATCTCAATCTTTTTTGTTTTATTTTCAAGATTATTTGCTAGCTATTATATTTGAGCCAATAAATAAAGAATCTTGTAAATTCTTTGTTCAATTTTTTTCTATTCTCTTTTACTTTGTTTTGCCTTTTATGTTCTAATTTATTTAATTTTTTTCTATTTTATTTTGATCTATATTGTTATACGTTATGATGGAATTTATATTGCTATAGATTAAAAAGATCTTAGATCTTAGAGATAATCTAGTCCTATTTCACATCTCATATTCCATGTGTCTCTA